TATTGTTTTAATCGATCTTTTACTGCAGCTAAATTCAATCAAAACATTATTATTCAGATGCGATAAGAGTAGGTATGGTTGGTACATGTCCAATATACACATAGCAGCTAAGTAAAATTATCAATTGAGGGCAGAATTCATCAATTTGCTGGTGTGATACAGTGCGAAAATTTTTTAATCGTCTACCTATGAGCTAACTCTAAAGACTTAGACGGTTAGGTAGCGAACTATAAAATGGATCATTGTTGACGAAGAAAAACATTAACTATGATCAATAAACTATTGATCCATAGGCAAGCTGTTACAAGTTTTAGTAGGAATTTTTTTATCTTCTTGCAATCTAGTACCGGTAGCAACAAAGTAAATTAACTATAGAGTAGAAAAAATAACATTAACTACATCCTAGGACGCTAGTGAATTACCACGTCTCAAATTTTGTTAGCCTGTTATAGTTTTTATCCATCAGACATCAATATCAATGGATTTCATTGCTCTACTACGCGACTAAAGTATATTATTTCTTATTCGTTCGTAAATCAATCTTTGAACGTATACAAGTTGTGATTTAATGATATTAATTGCACTTCTTTGCTGTATTATATGCGAAAATGAAGAAATTAAATGGAACCATTCTCTGGAGGTAAGGTCAGCGCTCGTTAAGTTAATCCTATACTATCGTATTATCTTGATCCTTGAATGTATATCATAGGCTACTGTTATGATCCTGTATTTTAACTATGGGAGCATTTCCAATCATGTGCCATCAATAAAGCACCGGTTATACTGTGTGATTTATGAATTTGTAGTACTTCTTAATATTTTATTGTTAGATGATCTAAACACTTACACATTAAGTAATTTAGAGAAATAGGCTAGAGTTAAGAAAGTTCTGTTGTAACATTTGCTAGAGTTATCACTTTTTGATTGGATAAATAATCTTAACCTGTTTCATTCTTGAGTAACTATTAAATGAATATAAAACGATGTGGTATATGATTTTATGCCGTTGTTTCAGTGATAAGGCTCTAACTTGTATACCCTAAAAGTGGTAGGAAGTTCTAGTAAGACTATTGTACTTATAGAATCGCTACTAGAGTAATCGAAAATCTTATGGTTAGAGCTAGACATCTTGAAAGCAAATAAAAATTTTTGTCATAGAAAGGATTGTAACAAATACTAATAGAATCTCTTACTAACTGAATTTTGTTTCAGAAAGAGGTAAACCCATATGCTGTCGCTATGAATATCTTTAAATAGGAACTTGAACTTATGTTTAGTATACATTTACCCCTAGCAATATAGAAGCATTCTCAATAACCACCGTAGAAAATACAACTATCAGAGAATAAAAGCATTTGTAATTCCGATAAAATGTAATCTATTAACGTTACTGTAATATCAACTCCTTCGCATCTAATGCGAAATCATAAACTCATATGAAACCGATTTGCAAGTTAGTATTCTACCTAATGTTATCCAATACTCGATGTACTATTTTTAGTTTTAATGAAAGTCAGGCTTAAAAACAAATGTTATGAAATTACAGAGTTGCTTGGAAAAAATTTTCTGTCTCAAAAGTATGAGGTAAAAGAAAAGGGGTTTAACAAATATACAGTAAATAACAAATTGCAATTGCATCTACCAGCAATTATTTCAGAATACTTGTTCAGACAATACTTTTCTACTGTACTTTGCTACAAAATTGTATCAATCGGATTACAAATACTTGATACTGGTTTAGAAATGATCAGAAATTTAGAGATTCATAAAATCTTTACACAGCAAGCTTTTCTTGCGATGCCAATTTCAAATCCTAATGATATTCGAACCAATAGTGACCACTATACAGTAATCAGAAATATCCGTCGATGCTGGTATGATATAAAGCCACAGAAAATTGCTACAAAAACATCGCACTGAAAAAATGCAATCTAAGTGACTGTTTCCCAACTTAAAATCTCTCCTATTTAGAAAAATACGCGTATTACCTAGCACACAATGTTTTATTCGTAATTTTTTTTACCGCATTTGAGTAATAAACGGAGAAGTTATTGTCGTCCTAGAAAAAGTGTTTTACAGACGAACGTGGATTTGTCTGCATAGCACTACATTAAGCGAAGAATTTTAGCTTCACCGAAATTGCTGCCTTTAGCATACAATATCCTACAGAGTATTGTAAATAAATCTATTTGCAGAAAATTACTTGGCTTTTTCAACAGATATTGTAGAAATGACCATATTAATTGCTATAGACAGCATGCTGGCGGAAATTGATATAAAAATTAATTAACACGGTGTAATTGCTATTAAATTATTAAGGCGCCTATAATTGATTAATAATCAGGTACCGAGTTCTACAAAATCTAAAAACAAGTCGGCAAGGCAGGCTAGTTGGCTAGCTAGCTAATCGAATTACTACATTTCGATAGGTATCCAAAGGAGAACCGCTGTATTGAGCACGAAAAATAGGTTGCCGATATGAGTAGTCTAGTAAACACGTTTTAAGCCAATCAAAATGATTGGAGTTATTAATCTGGATTACTGCTTTACTAAATCTATGGATATTGTAATCACTCTTTATTTGAAAGCCATAGTGCAAAAATATTAAACTTGTTCAAAATAATTTGAATTCAGTAATCCTGCCAATTCATTAAATCTGTAGTAATTTTCATCATTTATATGCATTAGCTAGTGTGCAAGTATTTGACGATATATTTTAATTATTAATCAACTGGAGACATTATTGCATGTTTAGAAGAAATACACAATACCATTATTAATAAAAATACGCTTCTGAAAGCAATTTTTTATGCTTATCAATTTTAAAGAATACTGTAGCGTAGATGGAGTTAAAATATGTACAAAGTTAACTGTACCAATTATCGTCAATAGATTGACTTTCGCTTAAAAATACGTAAACCGATTGAATCTGTATAAGCTAAGAAATGGCTTTATTGTTGAAGATTATAACGTAATTAATAGTCTAGACCAATCGCTATTTCAGATATCCAGATTAAGAAGACTTAGCATTAACCCATGTTTAATCTAGGTAGAAATTAAAATTTTAAATTAATAGACAGGATAGCTTCAGAGTAAAAGCAAAGAAGACCTCTATATAACACACATGGCAGCAGAATTAAAATCTTATAAAGGGTATAAAGGATTAACTGAAGTGTGGTAATAATCAATTACTATAAATAATAGAATAGAATATTGATCTAGCTTCAATTTTGTTACATCAAATTCTAAGAATAGCATATAATTTAAAAGTGAATAAAGTAAAACACTATTACTGCGCGTAAAATTCTTACGTTATTCGGTAACACAATGCTTATTTAAAGATTCTTCTATTCTGATATGGTTATGATTTATTTATGACAAACTGTATCTTTTCTCGTTAGATTTGGCTTATAATAATGCGAGAATTAGCTTAATTTGGTATAAAGGCCTTTTTCTTTTCTCGGTATTTGTGCTTCGGATTTGTTGACCAATGGACATGACCTTAATTATAATTATCGGAACGGATTAGTTTACTTCAGTTACAAATTCTGCAAGATACGAGTTCTATTTCGTATAAATGGATAACTACAATAAATCTTGTTGAATAAAATAATTAATTTATGGGTCACGGCATAATATGTTATGATAAGATTATTTTAGTACGAGTAAATAGTCTAAAAATTAACTATTTCTGTAATTATAACTGCTTTTAATATCGTTCTGATGATGGAAATGACGCAAATTCTAGGCAATTTTAGAGAGAATAGCTTAGTAAAATAGAAAAAATGTAAGTTTACTAATAAATCTCGTCATTTCAGTTTAAGTAACCAAGTAAAAAGCCACTTTAATAATGTAATGTACTATATTGGTCCAGAATATCCACACTGGCGGAACAATCTGATATACTTTAGTATATTGTAGATACATTCAAAGTCTTAAATGATAAACTATATTTATGCATTTATTGAAGTTAATTAATTCGGCTATAATTAGGTCCTCTTCCTTATGAATAATTGAGTATGTGGTTATAAACGTTTCCAAGTGATTATCTGTAAGATTAAAGGTCAAAGACCTGAAAATTTGTTCTAAAATTTCAAGCAATATTTTGTAGTATTAAAACTGCCTTTCATTACTACAATTGATCTCTTTAAATTTACTTATCATGGAGAAGTTTCAATATGCGTTTCTGACAGTTATTTACCTGGTGAGTGTTGTACTACAGTAATATGGAAAATTTCATAAGGTCTTTAAAAGCAAATAGTCTATTTAGAGACACTTTCAGGAACAATCCTTCAATTATGCGACACTAAATATCTGATCGATAATTAATCAATAAATATAAAAAAGATACTATTCCTTAGATATTGATGAATCTATGATTTATATTACTAGTGTAAATCGCTGACGGATAATTGAACTTTATATATATTTTCTACCGATAACTTAAGTTAACTGGCATCAAAGTGATGTATTTTTACTAGTATTAAATTTATTTACAAAATAGAACTGTAGTTTCCTAAGCAGTAGATGCTTATTTACACAATCACCATAGTCTGACTGTAACATCATTTACTATCCGACTTGTAATTTTTTGACTTGAAATGGTCCTTCTTTTCTGTCATCATGTCTCACTTCTAAATCCATCACAGACTCAAATTAGCATTGATTTCGCGGTTATATACTTCAGATAGAAGATAATTATAGTTATGCTATAAAGTTTCTACTTGTAATTTAGTAGCTTACTGTTATTTACTGATATTTCATTAATTTTAAAATAGCTGCATAATAACTAATACGAATCCATCAATATCTTTGATGCCAATCATTAAAATCCTTCATCATTTCATAAATAATTGCTTTTCCATAACGATAAAATTCAACCGTAGCTTTAAGAAGTATAAAGTGATTGTCACTCCCATGATAATATTCGTTTTGTGCTATGTAAATTAGATATACTACAGTTTATAATTCATGGATATTTCACATTCATTTTTGTGCATATGGCATGCTGTATATTTCTTAACCTATTATCGCGATTTAGATCTTGCAAGGTAAAAGATTACATTATATTGCGATGATCCCAATGCATTCATTCACAATATATTAGAACTAGTCAAATCCTTTAAAGATCAAGACTATGAATATCAGTTGAATAGTTATCGAACCGTGGGCTTCCAAATCGGAACATGTCCTTTAAAGAATGTATTTGCAATCTAGTTAAACCTGCGAAAGTACTCGTATAATTAAATAAATTTTACCCAACAATTTATCCATAGATATCGATAACGCAATAGCTAGTAAATTCTGCTACATTTTTACAATGGATTGATAACAGTATAACTTTACTTTGACAAATCTTATACCTACTTCAAGATTGCTGATGATAAATACTGGTTTCACATATATGAATATCGCAAAATTGATTATTAGTGTCTCATAACATATGGCGTGATCAAGAAGTTATTAATACACTCAAATTTCTTTTCCAGATAAATCATCTAAAATTATTATGACGTCCGCACAGAGATGTAGACAGACTGTTATCACAAGATATAATTGTACATTTAATAATTAGCGTTAAGAGAATAAGATGGAATTGTGAATTATTTTTATAATTACAATTTAAGATTTACTACATTGGAAGGTAATACTGTAATTTCCGTAAATATAGAAGCTAACATCGAAGATAATTTAGAAATAATTACATATTGTAGTGACTTGTTTAGTTGTGTGCTAGGCATATAAAATATGCTTACTAAACTTAGTTTTAAATTCCATAATAACGAGTATAAATTATGGCATATTGATTTAGATATTAAAATTTTGGGCTTTAATGTCGTTATGAAGCTCTAGGGTGTTAGTTGAGACTTTCGGAGGAAATATCACAGATGCCTTTTTAATTATTGTAATAAAATGATCATAATTACCCTTACTGACAACATTTTCAAATTGGAGATTATGATAGAGATCACCTTAGCCGTACGAAAATCGCAATAAGTTATTGCGGACATATTCACATTCTTAAAATGGTATCAGTCGTCATTGAAAAAGTAACATTTATCGTTATAGTTTGGACTAAAATTTAGATAGAATCGAAACTTATATTGCTGTACACCATACTACTATTCCATTAGCAGTTAATCACCATTTCTTATGGTATTTCAGTTAGTTGATAGTTAACTTATTTAATTCTGTTTAGTTACATAATAATTAAATTTTTGCACCGTTAAGCAATACATTAATGATTTATACTTTCAGCTGAGTACATGTTTTCCGGCAACAGATGCTGAAGTCATCCCAGGTAAAATAATAATACCCCTTAATTCTGTTTTCAATTGAATATCTATATCGGCTAAAATGATCACTTTCCATATTTTTATTTCTATTTTACAACGCATAGTCTCGAAGTGATTTTAGTGTACATATATAAATACCAATCTTATTTCAAAAGATTATATAAGTGATATTTGTTGATAGACGCTATTTATGACCTTATATATAATTTTATAAATAAGTGTATAGTTAATATTATCTATATGCCGATAATTAATTTTTATCTAGATTCGCTATAAATTGAATGTTCTTTTAATAAAGCTTGAGTTTACTCTAGTTTAAGAGAGACTAACGGTTTTACTATAACCACCCTAAGATGGAAAGATCGTTAGCATATAGTGTAGTACCGTCAGTAGATATCGGAAAGAACAAAGTTGGCAGTAGGTTCGTAGTGAAATAATTTCTTTTAGTGTTGCTAACTTTCTTCGTTACAAATTTCATTTTGTAACATTCATAGAATTTACATAGCTCAAAAATTTTGGCACCAATAACGCGAAATAATACAAATTTTTAATTCTGGAGTATATTATTATTGCATGAACGAAGCGTATAGCCTATCATATAACTAATTTAATCAATTTTTAAGCTGCCTGTATGATTAACTTATTGATCGCTAATGGATGTTTGTGGCTCTTCCTGTTTCAAATTTGACGTAAATGAATCCAATTTAAATTTCTAACCTACTCGAATATACTATCTCTTACCATTCTTAATCACCAGTAGTATTTCTATCAGTTTATTAGATAGCTTAGTCAGTCTATACTAATAATTGACAAAACACTGAAAAGGTATTCTTGTGATTCAACTGCAGTAAGAAACCTACTAGATATAGTGAACGAAGAAATGGCAAGTTAAATTTCACATGCTGTAGATTTAAAGCATGCTTTAGCTGGTCAAAATAACAAAGTTTTCCTAAAGTTTAATTAATAATTGATGATCTACTATGATGTTCATTGCAGGTTTCTCATGCGATTTACTTTATCAAAGAATATTAGCCTACAAGGCGGCTCAAAATAGTGTTGTTAGTATCATATAACAGTCAAGTGCTTTGGCAGCAATATAGCGTAAGCAAGCATCGATACAGTCTAGCTAATTGACCCACCGAAAAACCTAATAAAATGGTAGAATATGTAAAATTACTAGTGAAGGGATATATAAGCAATGATATACAATTTTAAATATTACTGCTGTTACAATTATGACTACTATCACTTGTGACCCCTTTCTATAATGATTGCCAATATTATTCCGTCAAAAATTTGATTAGCGAAATTGTACAATCATTAACATTATTATTGCATCAAAATTGATAGAGATTATAACTAAAGCTTTTGGCGATTGTGGTGACACAGAATGGTATTCGCTAAGCAATATTTGTTATAAAGTCGTCGATACATCAAGCATAATTAAATACGCCTCTGCGTCTTCAATTTGCCAATCTTCTGGTGGAGGTCTAGTTAAAGTAGATTCTAGAGATGTACGCCAGCTATTAATTGATATTATGAGTACAAATGAATATTACTGGATTGGCTTAAGGGATATCGATGAAACCAATAATCCAACCGCCTATCGATGGATAATCGATAATGAGGTAGCTAGCGGTTATGTTGATTGGGGATATTATCAACCTCACTATTACTACCAAGATTGTGTGGTCTATGCCTATCGATTGCAAGCTTGGGGTTGGTATGATGTGCATTGCGAAGGAATTGAAGGGTTTAGAGCTCATTACATCTGCCAAAAATGTATGAATATAATTGTTTTATCGAATATATACGCGCTAATAGAGATTGTACTGTAGGAGTATTCAAATATGCGTCCTATTGTCAAATACTAGTTTCTTATCATGATTCTTTTCGTTTGTAAGATCCTACAAGTGTTGCCATTTCAACTTATGCCTCCTATTTCAGCGTTCTTCGTAAGTATATCTACTCAATTTTCTTTACTATTTATTTCGTAATTTAGCTAAATTGACACTACTAAAATTTATAATTATACATTTCTTGTAAACAGCATCAATCTCTTTAAGTGCTATAGAATCCAGTGATATTACTTCCTCTTTAGTAGCAGCCTCGACAGAATCGGCGATGCATGTAGATCAAGAGATAAGTAGTTCGTATACTGTTGATTTCGAACAGCCTGAATTAAGTTCCGATACATCTGCTCAACAAATTACGATAGCTGCTACGACTTTGATGGAAGTTACACAATTAGTAAACTTTGAAAGGAGCAGCCTGCAGGCAGGTGGCCAAAGTAGTTCTAATACTATTCAAAAGCAGTCATCCTCTATGACATCTGTATCCGCAAACCTTGTGCTTTGGAATGGCGAATTATATCATGCATCGGCTACTTTATCGATCACTAGTAGCTTGGTTAATGGTAAGCAAAATTCGGAGCAGAAATGTCTACTAAATCCAATAATCAGTATCGAGTACACTTAGTCTCAGATAGTATAGATGAGATGTTAATGAGTACTGTCGACGAATACTATCAGGATATAATCCAATCATTAGTATTCAGTGCCCTGTAGACTTAGTTTTAAATGGCTTAGATGAGATGTTAACGGATATTATCAGGACATAATAAGTCTAGTAATTGGTAATATAGTGACGATAATTTAAATTCTTGCATATATTGGATTAAATTTAAGACAGTATTTGATTTTTTCCCAAAAATATTGAATTAGAAACGCTACCTGATGCCAGCATAGAGGTCGTGAAGTCAGCCAATTTGCTCAGCTCAAGCACTCCTGTACTATCCGATGAATGGACAGGTATGATGAGCATGCATATGCATGGAGCCATATGACATTTTATGACACATTTAATACCATTCAACATCATCTTATTTGATATCTAATTTGGAAATAAATACTATGTATTGGTAATAGGGTGATGCTCATTTTAAGTACGGAATTACTAATCTAATAATCTCTCATTAATGCTGCCTAAATTAGAAAAAACTCATAGCTTTCAATCAACTAGTGTTCTGTCATGGAGTCGTTCTCCAGATAATGATCTAATGTCAAACTTAGGGTCGCCAAGTATTAAACACCGTCTAGTAGCCAAATATTAGTTGTCCAATCTTCTGATATTTCATCACTTTTAAAATTGAATACAGCGTATATCGACCCAACTGCTACCCAAAGTGCTCCAGATTATACCACTATTATGGAAGGTAAAATAATTGATAGTTTTTACACTCAGGTAACTACTGCTGTCAGCTGATAGTTGATAATGTATTGCGCCTTATGATAATATTAAGACATATTTATTTCATATTTTCAGATGGAGTAACTTACATTTCACCTACCAGCCCATACGAGATTTCGTTACCATTATCGGCCGTAGATGAATTAGTTACTATCAGGAAAAATTCTAATTTGAAAGGTACATAAAAAACAATATAGTTTCTAGAGTAGAAGGATAGTTTTATTTTATGCGCACCATGAGTTTTTGACTATACTATAAAAGGTTGATGCCTGAAGACCACATTTTAGTTGGTATTCGGTTAGTTAGTCAACTAATTTTTCAATTGCTATTGAATTGTTAAGACTATAGTCTTGGCTATCAAGATTTCTTCAGTAATAAATAGTAGTAATTTCCTGACTACCTCGTCTACTCTATTAGCGACGCTAAAACTATACTATAGTATTCGGTTATCGGAACTGAATTATTGCGCGATATAGCTGATCTCGTCTCTTTAAGTCAGTAAGAGGCGTTTGTAGATTTACTTTTTCACTAGCGGTGTGTGACAATTGGATTTTAAGTACGATACTTCCTTTACTCTTATTACCTATCATTCAACCGCAATTAAATCTACTTAACCAAATTTATTTTCAGTCAAATGGTAAGTAGTTGAAAGCCATTGATTTGATATATTGATAGCCGGTATACCTTCATATTTCGCTGATATAGTATAACAGCTGTAGAATTTTATATTACAGTGATTATTCACATTGTTGTGATTATATAGTGATAATCGGAATTCATTCGTTTCGCGATAATATCAGTATGGTAGCTGCAGAATTTTGTATTATAGGGATTATTCACATTATTGCGGTTGTATCAAACTTGATCGCTCCTACGTACAAGGCTGATTAGTTGCTATTGCTCTCGTATTTGCGTTTTCTTAATCAGCAAATTAAAAAGGTGGCGTAATTCATGCCCTGATAATTTCGGTGGCAAAGTCAGTTAAATCAGCTTGGGCATATCTTTCTTTACAGTACTACTCAATATCTTTACAGATGATTAGAATGGAGTATTAACTCCAATTTAATGCTAAAATTTAGATATTTTCTCATTTTAATGGATGAAAAAAAATATCTGAGATTCAGCAGGATCATGAAAATGCTATAAAGCATTTGGGCAAGTTTCGGAATTGATCATGCTATAAAAAGAGCTTTATATTTATAGCTAATATAGAATTGAGAAAATTATTGTTCTACACTTTCATGCTATTTTAATAATAACTTTAAAGTTTAGTTTAAATGATGACATAAATAATAATGTACCTTAATAATATATTTACCGATGTTCGTTATAATAACCTGAGATGATTTATCTTAGTGCGCTAGAAATCTTCGCAAATTAAATGTAGTTGACAGATAATGCCAAAAGATAGACGTCAATAACTAAGGGATAGCATCACTAATCAAAAATTATTTATTGATGCTTAGAGTGCTTAAAATCTTTGCAAATTAAATGGAGTGGACAGACATATCCAATAGATCGAAGTCCGTATTTAAAGGATAATATCATTAATCAATAGCTATTTCTTTATGCTTTAGAGTCTTCTTGCCCAGCTAATTCTTTTGGTTTAAAAATATCTTCTATTGCATGTCACACATATTTTGAAAAATGAATTCGCTCTAAATTCTTTCATATATATTTTTGATAGATATAGTGATGGCGTCATCTGTAACATGCACAAATAATTCTTCATTATTCGTACCTTCCAGCACTAAAGGTAAGAATGGCGATATTATTTGAATAAAGTATGCTTCCAATCTTAGATTATACTTTCTTTAGTTTTCGTTGGCTGCAGCAGCGTAAAAGCTAATCATTTAGGGCTGTGAATTGATACTGTAATTATACTTTCATATTAAGCTATAACTACATCTTTATGAGTATAAACCAACTACCTTTTCTATTTAATTTAAATTAAATTAGCGAGAAACTTCAACATCAAATGCAGTAAGTTAGAGGCTTAATCTAATTTTTTCTGATCATTAAATATATCGTATCACTTTATTTCCTTAGCCATAAAATTCAATATTTGAGGTGATTTTATCTCAAATGTTTCTCCAATGCTTAATTTTATTATAATTAATAATTCATTTTGTCGTATATAATCTATAATAACTCAAAAATAATGGCAATTGCAAAACTTAGAATTAGATCAAACTGTCAATGAAACGATTATAACAACACATAGTTTTATAAATGGTTAATACATGACTTACTCAGTAAGTTAATTTATTGGTTTATAATTCATCTTATAGAACCACCGGCAAGTTCAAAATCTTTACCAAGTTTGCCTACATCAATAATTACATCATGGATAAATGCTAGTAACTTAGAAACTGGACTGTCCGCGGCGTTTCAAGCTCTTTATTCTATAGTAGGTTACCATATCCAACAAAATTGTTTGCATTCAATGAATTTTATAATCATTTACCAAAATTTCGATTATCTTTTCACTAATTTCTTAGTCAACTCTAATCGAAAATGAGAAACCCGTTACGACAGGCATCCAAGTATTACAAGAGCTCCATAATGTATTCAAAAGCTCGAAAAATATCACTAGCCAAGACCTTAATTTTTCGGCAAGAATTTTGGATCGATTGCAACTCATGGTTAAAATTCAGAATGAATCATGTGAAATCAAGGAAAGCTATTTTAAGGTAACCTAAATTGTAGAAGCATAACAATAATTTTTCAAACAGTGATACTAATTTTGATGTTTAAAAAGTTTTACGATTGCTACATTAAGAATTGGGTATCCTTTAATACTGTATTGTGATAGCAATTTTATTGTTAATAATTATAAATAGCTATATTTATAGAAGAATTCTACCAGTTACTCTACTACGACTGGTATAATTTAGAATAATATTATACCAAAAAGTTCGGAGTTAGCCTTTCTTTTAGTTTAATTCTAATATAGTAGCTTTTAGTATTTAAGTTACTATTGAAATATTTAGGATCAACAATGACAATTTAACACCAATAACGTTAAAATTCTGGTAATAGAATAATCTCCGGTTGATCTATCCATTAGGATTTCTTCAACGTCATGACCGATCTAACTAGCAAGGATAATATCGTTTTAGCCGCTGATAGAGTAATATTTCTTATGAAATTAACTTTCATTAAATTGATCATCAGAATGATCTTCATTGACTACCATAGAAGCTTGACTCTCTTTACTTACATAGTTGACAGATCTAAAGAGATTAATGAAGATTACTCACGTTTACACTACACAAGTAGCGGAAAATCTTGAACTTGAAAGTGTTTTCATTGTTAACTCTCCTGAAATGAGTAAGTTATCCAAGAATTGCTAAGCCTGTCTGATTTTATATTATAAAAATCGATATTAGTGTAGTATGTATATCTACAATGTTTACTTATTGAGTATGTAATCTAGATATATAAACTTACAGCAGAAAGAAGGGTTAAGTAGATTATCGGATATATCACTTCATCATTCTTATAATAAAAAAACTAATGGTAGTACTTTAAACTCGTATCATCAACTAGTCGTTATAGCATCCATAAGTATCTCGCTTACTTCATAATTTTAAAAATATAATTCAAAGGACTCCAAATCGTAAATATTTATACTCTACATTGCTCTTACATTTTAAACTTGAAATTTTATTTTAAAAATATAATAAGTAAATAACTTGTATGCGCATATTTAATAGTATATCCTCATCAGTACTTGCTATCGAGTACTACATTTATCTTAAGAAAACAGTAAAATATGATTTTCTTATGCAGATATGTTTCTTAGTCAAACTTATACTCGAATTGTAGATAATTGTATTCCATAAGTGCTATAATAATTAGGGTAAGGCACAATAGAGAATATGGATTACGCTCTTCACTTTCGATGTCAACTTATATTAACATTGCTTTTTACAGCATTCCATATTCAACGGATTCGGGTTCAAGATTTTCTTCGAAACCCTTATCGAACTACTTTCAGAAGATTATATGGTAATGAGTTACTGGCTAATGAATTTATTTTGCCTTCCTATGCTGCGTCCAATATGAATGGTATAAATAATCTAATCCCTATGTAGCAGCTATTAGAATCTAGTTCATGCCATTAAGCTTCTAGTTGCAGTAGTAGCTTGTGTATGCCATATTTCAGCTTGAAAGCAGTCATACTATGAAGCACTTTTCCCGTACTTAACACTTATGGTAATCGGAGCTTCTACTGCCAAAGTAACATAATCACTATCGGTATTTCTCTAAATGTGAAATTTCATGTATCAATTTAATGTATATTCTATATTTTAAAATTTGGAAAGTATCTGGTGCAATATCAGTTGCTGCATCGTATTATACAACCTTGAATCACCTAATAAATAGAGATTTGAAAAGGCCTAATGAAGGAAGGTACTGCATATTAACATGTTACTACGAGTAGAAGTAATATAGCTTATTCATAGCACGAATAAAATTTACGGATAATACTATCGACTGTATATGCTGCCTAAAAATTTTATTTTTATTTAGCATTGATGTAGCCGGAGAAATCATCAATTCTGATATTATAAGTTCTTTAACGTTGCCAGTAAGTAGACTAAGTTGGGATTATCCCTTCCAATTTACTCTGGCACATCTTAAGGCAAGTACTACCAATTATGAGTTAAGTAATTACCAATAATAATTTTTTTTTGTTTGGGCTTAGAAATTTAAATTTTTAATATTCTCATACCACAAATACGCAAGAAGACGAAATTCTAGCTATTATATTTTTTATCCGTTTTTACTTTTTACAGTGCGTTAAAACGATGCTTTTCATAGCTATAATTTTATTCTACTCTAACTTCTACCTAGTTTGGATTTTTATTCTTTCATCTTGCCTATTTATTTATCTTTATGTTATCCACTTCTTGATCGTTTTAAGCTTGCATCTATTTACAAAACAGTGTTTGCTTGCATAATCATGACGTTAACGGTAGTGCTATATGATATTATTTGTATAGAAAATGATTCCGTGTAGGTATATCCCAATACTCTATGCTGTAGCTGTGCCAACTGACATGATACATATTAGCTACTTTTAGTAATATTGTTACAGGCAACTAATATAAAATATATATTGTAGCTCTAACACAGAGGGAATTGTGATTAGTTGTGTTATTTTAAACCATTTTCTAAAGCTAGCACTTTGTTTCTATTCTTTGACTTAGGATATTTCATCCATTAATGTTACTTGCGTTCATTGGGACTTTACAATAGGGTAAGGTAACTAGGAGAAATGTTGATCATGCTGAAAATAGATACTGCTATCTAGTTTTTAAATATTGCAACAAAATAGAACATCTCCATATCTGAATACTACGGTTTCAATCCCATAACTATAGGAAAGATGGGAGTTGGTCTGCTACCGGTTGTAAACTAATTTCTAGTAACAAAACACATACTGTCTGCCACTGCCGACATTTAACTCAATTTGCAGTATTAATGAGAGTTTCGGGTCAAGAGGTAAAAAATAGGGAAATATAAATTTCTCTTATTATGATATCTATTAATGTGATAGAAAGTTGAGAAACGCTATGAATAAATGCATTTCCCTTTATGTATAAAAAATTACACAAGCTTGCACGAAAAGATAGGAAAATTTTGGAGGTTTTAACTTACATTTTTTGCGGTATATCGCAAATATTTCTGTTTATAACTGTGGTCTTATTTGGTTTGCTAAGGTAAATTGGTATACGCATATATTCATTATGTCTATTATCTGAGTTATATATATGCGATCACTTATTTACTTGCATTAATTTCTTAGCCGATCCTTTGTTTCTTTCTCGTTAGATTGAATTCAGAGAGATATAATATCCATAAGCATTTGATATTAGCGCTCTTTCTTGCTCAAATATGTCTGCTAATTGGAATGAATGTTTCAGCTGTACCGGTACATTATTACTATTAGTTATAAATCAATCAAGGCTAGAAGAGAGACTGAATCAGATTATTGCATTCTCAAAATAATCCTTTATAGATATTATGCAGGATCTTAGCTATTGGTCTCCATCTATGCTATTTATCAGTTTTTATGTGGATGTTGGTAGAAGGCCTTCACTTGTATTTGCAAATTGTAACAGTATTCGATGAAAAAGACCGTTCACTCCTTTACTGTGCAATTGGATGGGGTAAAATGTTTAGTTTAAAATCATTGGTATTCTTCGCTATTCCAATAGTTATGAAAATCACTTGAACATATACATTCAATTTCAGCAAAATTCATAATTTATACTATTGTACATTGTGTGTGATGACAATGTAGGAATTCCAATCATTATTACAGGATTATCGGCAGCAATACGCTACCATGATTATGGAATTAATGGAAGGTAATAAAGAGTCCTAATATCACTTAATGCTAAGAATAACCTGAAATTTTATTTTCTGGCTGATATTGCAGATAGATAAGATATCATTTAACTTCGTAGAATTAGTTTTAAATTTGATGGTGTACTTGTATCATTCATTAATAATAATTTACTTAAAATATATTCATGAATTAACTAATGGAAATGTGGATGGAATCGTTCGATTTTTGTGCTAGTATTAGCATCCAGTATTATGATTTTAGATCTTTCCGATTTTCAGTTTGCCTTCAGGCTTCGATATCCTGATAGCATTTGCAAAATTTAATTGAATTTATCTTATCCTTACTTTTGATTGTAGTTATAAGGCTAGCAGATTGTATATAACTATGCTTGCATCATTTACTATATTTCTGTTGATAATATCGATCCTTTCCAGTAATTAAATTGCTAGGTATAGCTCATACAATAAAATGAGATCTAATTGGTACAATTTTTAAAAGTAAGGACAACGTGCATAAGATTGTATCTAGAAGTCAAAATCTTGGAAAATCCAAAATAAAATGTTAATTTTAAATGCTAAAATACTAATTTATTTCGTAGTTGTTGGCTTTCTATAGGTAATGGACTTATTTGGGCCTTTGCAGGGCCTGCAATAGTTATTATTTTGGTGAGTACAATTATCATTTAGCAATCATTTACATCACAATAAATCATAAAAATAGAATATCCAATTATCACTTTTCTTTCATGTCTTTTGTCTCAGATTCAAGCTTAAAAGGAATAAGTGTCTTATTTAAGACATTCTTTTCTATAATATTTCACAATATTTTATTTTAATTTGGAGTAGTATAAATAAAAAATTATCGTGATTTTGTTCAAAATTAAATTGTTAACGATACACTGCCTTTCTGCTATTCAATTCTAAACTGTATTAAATTTAAAAAGGATAGTAAGGAATATAGCTCTAAGGATAGTATAGCTCCTTATTTACATTACTTTCATTAATTTCCTTATTATAGATCAATTTCATTATTATGCTGATTGTTACGAAAATTGCAATAAGTAAAACAGCAGCAGTAGCCGTTAGAACTGGCAATCAACATTTTAGAAATTTAAGGTAAAATTGCTAAATTACTTGATTATAAGGATATTTAATTAAAATTTGAGATTGAAATATCGTCAATGAGATAATTAGTATTATCATAATATTGAAACATAATTAAGAGTTAAATGCTTATAAATTTAAAAGAGTCAAGTCTTATAACAGTTATTTTCCTTCAGGACTGCTACGAGAGCCATTATTCTTCTAATGCCTTTGCTAGGCTTAACATGGACATTTGGTCTTTTAGCAGCCGATGATAATACCGTCTTCTTTGCATATTTATTCGTGATATTGAACGGCTTGCAGGTATTATAACAAATTAATACCAATAAAATGTTATAATTTGATCCCATCAGATGAATTTTCCTCCTGAGCTCATCCATTATATTCCTATGCCTTGTAACCAAATTTTCTTACCGTAAGGATTTTTCTACTCTTTAGGGGGTTTTTATTTTTATATCACAGTGCGTCTACAATTCAGAGGTAAGTTGCCAATAGTCGTATTCCATTTCTCTTCTAATTAAAATTTGCACTAAATGAATTAGATTTTTAAGCAGCTATTGTATTTAGTTCTAATGTACATCACAATATGCTAAATCAAAAATAATCAAGTCTAATACCTTACTTGCAATAGTGATAAATAAGTTACAAGTGATTATATGAAATTACTCTTGATACTATCCTGGCTTAGGTTCGAAATGGCTTTCGCCGATTTATGAACCGTTATGGGCTTACGAGTAAATTGCATAGAGATTTTTCTACCGCTCTTAAGGTAGTATTAAAGATGCAAAATCTTTAAAATAAAGAGAATTATTCGAGAATTATTCTACTTTTAGCTGATTTTCACGTATCTTACTAAGGGTTTTTAATACTTTTATCGGCCTTTATCCTATGATTTAGCTATACTATTTGATGTAGTCTAACATTTTTGCTAATTCTATTCAAGAAATATACTATGCTTCTGATCCTTCAATTATAAATATTTATGATGTCATTCATTTTAATGGTTTCATAGCCACTCAAGTCAACGACAGAAGGTGTAGCAACTGGAGCAAAGAATTCCTCACAAGAAGAAGAACCACATTCTGCACGTCCATTTGATGCAGGTAAAATTAAAAGGGGTTTCAACATTTTTGATACTACAATATAAAATCATATATCATAAAATAGTTAGCGCAAAATTAGTTGAATATGACAGCTCATGATATGCTCGTGTATTGGACCATGGAAAACTTTATCAAACTGTTAGTATCTTGTAGCAAAGAGGCTGCTTTTAGGAAGTTATCTTTGATAGCAATTATAATATAACGTGCCTGAATTATCGTGTGTTAGGCTTCTGGAAGCGAGTATTATGGATATCAGCAGTAATCTAGCCCCACGTAAAATACTTTATCAAAATTTTGTCGTTATGATAGTGAAGAATTTTATATCGCGTTGAGATAAACTTTTATAGATTATTTCGTGTCTTATGCTACTCAATTGAATACTGAAAAGATATTCATTAATCGTAAGCATGACTACTGGATGCCTAACCTGTTTTTAAATTGATATTTAGCCTCTGGATGTAATAATAAATCCAAGTCAAAGAAGGTAATTTAAATGTATAACTACTCTATAGCGGAAGCCGAGATAGGCCAATATCATACTGTAGATCGTTATATTACCTGGTAACAGTAGATTAGATACTCAATAAGCTGCATAGATTCGCTTCTTTTAATCCATTATCCAAATTATTCAACAATTTTAGCGATCATCAAATCGTAATAAAGATCTAATCATAATCAATGAAGCCAATACAGTGAATAAAATGACTAAATCGAAATCATTAATCGGACCTGATATTAATATCAACGAGATTCCAGAAAACAAATTATCAGCAAGTCATTCTCATCAAATTATAAATTAAAGAATATTACTGGAGATCTGTTGTTAAATATCTTGATTATTTGCCTTTCGTACGTTTCTATTCTGTATCTAATGCCATTACTAATATTATCGACAATATACTGCCGCTACCATAATCTATATTTCTGTGAAACCGTGAAACTGCAATTAAACAATGCCATAGATAATTTATGTTTGTATATTCACATTCCACCGGATGTTTTGAATCATGTTAGATTGAATAGCTCTAATTATATTAAAATATAATATACAATTTAAGGTTATCATTGTGTTGACTATGCTGTGGAAATGATGATAAATTGATTCTCCTGCTAGCTATTACTTTTGTCCTTTGGAAATTTAACAGCTATCCTCTTGCCCAGGAGAATCGATCGATTGATAATATTTGTGTCAACAATTCTCCTTCTTTAGACTCAAACTGAATTATTTTAGTCTTCCAGGTTCGAGACTAAGATTTCTAAATATGGCTAAGAAGTTCATGATTTACTTTAGATTATAATATCGTCTGCATAGCAAATGTAAATTATTCACAACCTTGCAACACTATATCCGTAAGTCTTAAAACGTCGCAGATTCACGATATATTCCGAACTGCATGACTGTAAATTCGAATACCTATGTAAACGAGATAGAGCTTACTATAAATAATAAATAATCTAAAAATACATTTAGAATGATTGCTTTAGACCCATTAATACAGCATAGAAGTATTAAAATATGGAATTTTTAGGAGATTAAAGTTATTAGAGGTTGCCAAAAGTGTCTCATTTTCAACTTATAAATCTTTGCATAGCGGCTATGTATTTCAATTTAAATCATTTACCTAATGTATTGGTAGAGTTAGCTATAAACCAAAAATAGTAAGAAGAGGCTCAATTTCATCTAATTCCTACTCAGGTCGTACTTAAAGTAATTTCTGCATAGTTATTTTATGACAATTATTCTATAAGTCATATGTTTTATTATCTGACTCTAATACAGTAAATAGTATGTGCAGCAAGAAAGTATTTACTTGCTTCATTATAAACTGTTATCGAGAATATTGTTAGTTAGTGTATAGGTATTCTTATGTCAACAATTTCCTTGTATTGTTATATTATGAATTTTGGTTCGTGATGTATGTATAATGTGCATAGAGGAAAATCGCTGATAATATGGTAAACTATGTGATGAAATAAAGATCTACACCTATTTTAGTTTTGAAATTATGATACACATAAATGTTGGCAGCAATAGAACTTGATAAGATTCGATTATCGTCCATGTAATGAAAAATTAATGACCCATTTTATCGTAATATATCTTGATTAATTTACAGCGGTTGAAATAGTTCTAAGAATTTGGTTAAATTTGGCTCAAGTGAAGAATTAAATCAATATACTTCTTCTAAAATGTTGCTGATATAACCCTTTTGACTAGAACACTGATATGCTGACTACATTTGTTTGTCGTTAATTTTTCATTACATGGACGATAATCGAATCTTATCAAGTTCTATTGCTGCCAACTAGTTTTGTTAATTATTTAATTAAGTGAGATTCAATATTAAAAGTTTTCAAATTTTATAGCAATGTTGCATATGCATACTTAAATTATTTGCTCCGATGTCATTGAAATGAATATTCTGATTTGAATATTAGTCAAAATCACAGAATGAAGAAAATTAAACGCAATAAGCTTTCTCCTAGGATAAATATCTACCGTACATTATACTAAACATGACTAACAGTCTACAATCACAATACTATGTTACATTACAATTCTATAGAACTGTATTTAGATTATGCTATCATACTAGCATAGCTTATGATACCTTAAAACTATCACTAGGTCCGAACTGCGTTAAGGCGATTAACTGATCGCTATGGATTGACAAGCAGTATAAAGTACATAGAGACTTTTCAACAGCATTAAAAGTAAATCTGATTAATGACTTTTTAAACCTTAAGCTATTTCCAATTCTTTTTGCTTATTCTATAGTGAAAAAAGTAAATTTAGAGAAGCACTGCTTTGTTAACATATACTACTAATAGAAATTAACCTAATTGAAACCTTGAAAGCGTCTATTTATTGAAATCGATCTATTTAATCTATCAAACTGATGAAATGTGCATCTAAAATTCAATAACAGCCTGTGAAATTGACAAGCGGAGTGACATCGAGTCAAAAGCCAAACAATTCTGGAAAAGAAGATGATTCGTGTTCTACCAACGCATTTGATACTCGTAAGAGTAGTGTGAGATTTTAACTAGAAAGTTACTGATATATGCGGAACTTGATCTTTTAGTCGATAAAATCAGCGTAATATCATCGATAAATGTCTCTCACAAGGAAGAACATTTTATTTTGCTGATTTGGTTATGCTATGATATCGAGTAAATGTTAAACAGACGATACTAATGATCTGGACTAAAAATAGATCTGATTTAAAGTCGAATTTATAAAATTGCATGGTAATATTAAATATCGCAAATGTTAGTAATTAAAACATATGTCTCAGTGTTATTTGTCAGTTTACCAATTATAATCATTCTACGTTAATGATTTATTTTGAAATATTTCTTTATTTCTTACAGCGAGTGGTTACTCTGGACCTTTGATACGAACGGTAATTATATCAAGTCCTATATTTTCGAAGATCGTTCTAATTAGATCTACAGTAATCTGCTATAGCTATTTCTATCATAGCCATAACGAAGGTGTCAGATATCCAAGAAGCTAAAGTATAGAGACATAACTATAGGTCAAATAGCGCCATAGCAGAGACATTACTGGCGTACTTGTATCATATTTATCAGCTTTTAGTTTAGGATAGATATTACAAATATACCATACATATTAAACGTTGACTGCTAGGTATATCAGCAGTTTCGTTCTAGCTATGTCCTTGGATTATGCTGAAACTATTAAAAATTGCTCAATTCTTGTTTTAATTAGCGCGTATTAACTGAAACAAGCAACTTAGTAACTCTAACGAGTACTGATTCCTCACCAAGACAGAATACGCCGACAAGATTAATTGCATCTAATATTAATATTAACGAAATACCAGATAAAGATGAGGCTTCTATCGTGTTTGAACTGTGATCTTATGGAAGGCTTTCTTTGTCTTTAATAATTCAACCTATGAATTACCTTCAATGCTTGGTATACTACAAGGGCTACAAATACTTGTTCAACTAGTTAAATAGAATATCCTACAATAACGATTATGCTTCCAGCAGTATGCAATTCCTTCTTGGATTTTATTTAAAAGTATTTCGTAGCAAATAATTGCAAAGTAGTAATTCGATAAATTGCGTAATAATAACATCAAATAGAGAATAATTGGAGTTATATTGGTTAAATATTAGTTTCTTCAGCTATTCCACTTTAGGTTTTAAATCTCACTACAAGAACTTCCCCACTGATTTAAATTGAGTATTAATGAATACTAAGAACTGCTTTTAATAGGATTCACTTCCTGAACTGAACTTGTTTAAGATCTTGACTACTATAAGAAATTCAAATAGATGTATTTAAAAATGTGGCTTATAGTATCGGAATCACTCTTCGTACTCTCTTTAGCAGCATTAATTTTTTTTGTAAAATATAGAGTATAAAAGGAATACTTACAACAGGATCTGTTCAAGTCAATTAATTTTGTTGTAAAGTCACTATTAGTGCAAGAATTTATAAGTTATATCTACTTCAAAAGAATATTGTATTATAAATGAAAAAAATTTCGATGCTATTCTTTTATTTTACTGATTTTACTTGATATTACTGAGTAAGGTAAGAAATTTATAAGTCAAATCTACATCAATGGAATATTGTGCTATACGAGAAATTAATCTCGATAATACTCTTTTCCTTCACTGACTTGATAGCATTGAGTATTGATTAGTTTCAAATTCCGATAAGATCAATAACTTTTCATTCACGTATATTGGTAAAGTGTGTCAAAATTAATGTTCGATGATATTTATTTCTTATTGTAGTTTAGCTTAAGTATCACGAATAATGAAGAGATTTCTTTACCTATTTGAGTTACATTCTATCATGCAATCAATTATCTTATATCCGTATGTGATATATACCAATCACGAGATTCCAAATTTTAGAAAAATAAGGCTTTGTTGAATCTTATACAAAGATTAACTAAACACAGCTCTACTTCAGCCGAATACTACTACTAAAGACTTCTACAACGAACTAACAGAATAATCTAAAGTTGCATGCTTTTATACTTTTCGCAGCATTCGCAGCTACAATCCGCATGGCAACCTTTTACCTTATATTACACATAGTTAAATTATTCTTAGTAAGACTATTCTACTGCGGACCATCATTAATCCAATATGGATACGACTACAGTACTTCGTAGACATTACTCACACCAGCCAAAGTACAATGAATTAACCATATCCTAATATATGATTTACAGTTCTATTTTTACCTATAACGTAACTCAACACCTTACTGTATATAGTCATCTGTACTCTAGCATAGAGCCTCTACCACTACAGTCTATAGTTATAGCTACCAAATATCTCTTAGGATAAATATCTACCGTACATTATACTAAACATGGCTAACAGTCTACAATCACAATACTAGCTACATTACATCGTAGTATTATACTCTTATCAATCGTAATTTGTTACGAGGTTGTTTCGGAGCCATGCTCCGAAATATTAATTGTTACGTTAATTAAAATATCTCATTTAAATTATTGTTTGCTCCAGTAGCTTATTAGATATTAATGTTTATTCATAAGTACTTGTTCAATATTGTTGACGTGTCGGAGCTAACACGCTTAGTCTGTAAACGTTAACTAATAACACCTTAAGTGTAAGATCGATTAATTTGCAGAGCCTTGAGGCTCTAGTTGCTATACTAGGATATGTACACTGTACAGTGTAAGCCGCTATTTCAAGAATATTCACAAGTGTACTATCGGCGAGACTATAAAAAGCGGAGCACTAGCTTAGCTTCTCAGTTCCAGTTAGTCATTTACAG